GAGGATACGATCGAGTCTAGGGAGTCGCCTATTGGCTACTCCCTAACGCGTAACCATACCCTAACCCTAACGCCTAACATAAGCATATCAGATAAATTAATTACCATAGTACGTTCCGATATATCGAACCATACCCAGGGTGCGCCATCTGCGATAGTACGCCTGGGGGACATAGACCCTATTTGCGCGTTAGCTCCGTCATTGTCAGCTAATCAAAATTACATGCGCATTTAGACATTGGCCATCCAACATTTGCAATGGTGAGACAAAACTGTCAAAAGAGGTGGAGTGTTGCTAACTAACTAATGGTATGGTAAGAGCCGTGAGGGGTCTGTTTGTCACTACGTCCTTGTGTAGGCGGTGCCAGTAGTACTAGTAGCTCTAGTACTATAGCCCGCGTACACGCTGCCGCTAGGCCTCGCCCGGCTGGAAGCGCACCTGTACCGTAGTTTTGGACGCGTCGCCCGAAACTGGATCGGCTCCTAAGTGCGCATGCGCGCATTCGCTCTTTGTTTTGCAAGGCGCCAGTCCACAGCACATGCGCAGTCATGCGCAGTAGTCATGCTGGCGCATTTTTGCGCATCGAACGCCGTTACAATAAACAAACATGGAGACTTCCTGCGTCACATGATAGAAACAATTTGATTCGAAACCAATTTGCAATATGTAGCTAAAATTAGTTTAAGACTGTGTAGTTTATATGGAACCCTGGAAAGGCGACATCCGACTCATTTGAGTTTTCGCCAGTATTCGAGTTTCTGAGGTTCCGAGTTTCTTGAGTTTCTGTAGTTTCCGGAGTTTCTTCTGCCGCATACACCAGAGACAATAGAACACGGTCAACCGTCACATCAGGTTGTGGTTTTAGCGTCGTAAATTAACTTGCAAACGCCACCGCCAGATGGTGGTACGCAGTCTATCCGCGTTTCGGGCGTATCAATGGAAACATGCGTTCAGCACTCCCGTAGTTCTGGGTACAAGGGTACGAAGGAGCAGTGTAGGGAGGGGAGGGGAAGGGGAGGGGGAGGGAGGAGGAAGTTTAGAGTAGTAGCTAGTAGTAGTAGGCTGGAGTAGTGAGCAAAGCTAGTGAGAATGAGGAAGTCGGAGAATGGGAGAGATGCACTGGTGTGAGAAGGAGGAGGGGAAGGAAGCTGGTGAGAGAAGAAGGAAGGGGAGAGGAGGGGTTAGAAAGAGGAGCTGGTGGAGGAGGAGGGGGAGAAGGGAGAAGCTGTGGAGAAGGAGTGAGAGGTGAAAGCTGTGCGAGAATGAGGAATTGGGAAGAAGGGAGAAGATGGTGAAACAAGGGCGGTGTTAGGAGGGGAGAAGCTGGTGGAGAAGGAGGAGGGGGAAAAGCTGGTGGAGAATTGAGGAAGGGAGAAGAGGGCGTATGAAAGGAGCTTGATGGAGGTAGGAGGTGGAGAAAGGTGAGAAGCTGGTAGTGAAGAATGGAGGAGGGGGGAGAAGCTGGTGAGAATGAGGAATGGCGAGAAGGGAGAGATGGTGGAGCAAGACGCGAATTAGGGGAGAAAGGGAGAAGCTGGTGGCAGAATTAGGAGGGGGAGAAGTGGTGGAGAGAGGTAAGGGGAAGAAGGGAGAAGTGGTGGAGTAGGAGGAGAGGGAGCAAGCTGGTAGAGAATCGAGGAGGAGGGGAGAAGGAGGGGGAAAAGGGAGCTGGTGTGAAGATGAGGTAGGGGAGAACGGGAGAAAGGCTGCGTCGCAGAAGACGCGGAGGGGGAGAAGCCTGGTTGGATGAAGGAAGAAGGGGAGAAGGGAGAAGCTGGTGGAGGAGAAGTGGGGTAAGGGAGAAGTGGTGGAGGAGGGTGGAGAAGCCTAGAGACAAGGAGGAGGGGGTGAAGCTGGTGGAGAGGAGGGGTGAAGAAGGGAGAAGGTGTGTAGAGAATGGAGGAGGGGAGAAGCTAGTGGAGAAGGAGGAGAGGGAGAAGCTGAATTGGAGAATCGAAGGAGGGGAGAAGCTTGGTTGGAGAAGAAGGAAGGAGAGAAGGAGTGGGAAAAGGAAGGGCAGAGGGGAGAAGCTGGTGGAGAAGACGGAAGGGGAAGAAGGGAGAGTTGCGTGTGAGAAGGATGGTAATTAGGGGAGAAAGGAGAAGGCTGTGGAGAAGCGGAGGGGGTAGAAGCTGGTGGAGAAGGCAGGAAGGGTGGGGAATGGGAGAAGGTTGGTGGAGTAAGGTAGGAGGGTAGAAGCTGGTGGAGAAGGAGGAGGGGGAGTAAGCTGGTGGAAGAAGGAGGAAGGAAGGAAGAGGGGCGAAAAGGACGGCGGGAAAGGTGAGAAGCTGGTGGAGATAGGAGGAGGGGAAGATCTAGTTGGTGGGAGATAGGAGGAGGGGAGAAAGGGATGAAGCTGGTGGTAGGAGAAAGAGCGCGAGAAGGAAAGAAGGTGTGGAGGAGGGGGAGAAGCTGGTTGGAGGAGGAAGGGGAGAAAGCTGGTGAGAAGAAGGCAAAGGGGGAAAAAGGAGGGGGAGAAGGAGGAGGGGAGAAGCTGGGTGAGAGAAGGAGCGAATTAGGAAGGAGCGGAGAAAATGGAGCTGTGAGGCAGGAGAGGGGGATAGAGGCGAGAAGCTGGTGGAGAAGGAGGATGGGGGACGCAAGCTGTGGACGAAGGATGGAAGGGGAGAAGGCGAAAAGCTGGTGGAGGAAGGAAGCGGGAGGAAGGAAGAAGGTCGGTGGAGGAGGGGGATGAAGCATGGTGGGAGAACGGAGGAGGGGAAGAGGGCTCGCGCTGGAGAAGAGAGGGGCGAGAAGGAAAGAAAGGGGAGAAGGGGAGAGTTAGTGGAGAAGCTGGTGCGCACGAATGAGGAAGCGGGAGAAGGGAAGATGCTGTGGAGGAGAGAAGGGGAGAAGCAGAGAAGGTGGTGGAGGAGGGGGAGTAAGCGTGGTGGATGAAGGAGAAGGGGAGAAAGTGGGTGGGAGAAGGTGAGAACGGTTGGGTGGGAAGGAGAGGAGGCAGGGGCAGAACGCTGGTGGACGAAGGAGTTGTCGCTGGGAGCAAGGTGGTGGAGAAATAATGGAAGCGGGAGAAGAAGGAAGAAGCTGGTTGGAGAAGTAGGAAGGGGAGAAGGGAGAGGATGCGTGAGAGAAGGTAGGAACTTAGTGATGTGAATGGAGAAGTGCGTGGAGAAGGAGGAATTATGTCGAGGATGGAGAAGCGCGGTGCGAGGGAGGCGGATGGGAGATAGCTCGGTGGAGATAGGAGGAAGGCGGTGAGAAAGAGAGAAGGTGGGGAGAAGGAGGAGGAAGCAGGCTGGTGGAGAAGGATGTGAGGGGGAGAGCTAGCTGGAGTAATAGGAGGAAGGGGAAGAAAGGAGGGGAGAAGGAGCTGGGTGGTAGGAGGAGGGGGAGAAGGGGGAGAAGCTGGTGGAGAAGGAGGTAGGGGGAGAAGCTGGTGGAGAAGGAGGAAGGGTAGAAGGCAGGGGAGAAGCGAGGCTGGTGAAGTGAGG